TGTGTGTGTGTGTGTGGTGTGTGTGCGTGTGTGTGTGTGTAAGGGATATGGTGAGCCTGTGAGAGCAGAGCTGTGTGTGTGTGTGTGTGTGTGTGTGTGTGTAAGGGATATGGTGAGCCTGTGAGAGCAGAGCTGTTTGTGTGTGTGTGTGTGTGTGTGTGTGTGTGTGTGTGTGTGTGTGTGTGTGTGTGTGTGTAAGGGATATGGTGAGCCTGTGAGAGCAGAGCTGTGTGTGTGTGTGTGTGTGTGTGTGTGTGTGTGTAAGGGATATGGTGAGCCTGTGAGAGCAGAGCTGTGTGTGTGTGTGTGTGTGTGTAAGCGATATGGCGAGCCTTTGAGAGCAGAGGAGGTGCATTAGGAGGATACAGGCTGTTTACCAATAGGTGGCACTCTACCCTTTTTGACCAGAGAGGAGGGTAACCCAGAGCTTTGGAACGCATGGTCGTCCCGTGGTCTGGACCAGAGAGGAGGGTAACCCAGAGCTTTGGAGCGCATGGTCGTCCCGTGGTCTGGACCAGAGGACAAGTGAATTTAGCAAATCTCTCTCATACTCACTGCCACTCGTTTACCCGCCAGCTGCTTTCACGATGGTGTGATAGAAGGAGAGGAGGGCGTATTTTGTGGTCCTGTGTGGCTCAGTCGGGAGAGCATCGCCAAGGGTCGTGAGTTCGTCTCCCGCTGGCTCCACCCACACGTAAAATGTATAGTATGTATGCATGACTGCAAATCGCTTTGGATTAAAAGCGTCTGCTAAATGGCTTTATAGTAATACATGTACTGCATATTCTCATAGGAACATCCCCTTCACGACCTACATGAATGAAAGGTGCCTAAGCCTGAGATGTACTGTAGCTGGTTTATATTGACCTCTTTCCTCATTCTTTAGTTCTGTTACTTTGTTTCATCCCCTCCAGGATACTGACTTTGAGGTTAGACGTTGGCTCGAAGCCAGTGCATCATGTTGTAAGCCCAGGTATATTGTAAATCCATTCAGAGAACAAATATTATTGAAGGGAGTTACGTAAAAGTGAATCACAACTCTTTCATGAGTTTCTGTCTTGACCCATCTCTTCTCCTATATGTCATTGTTATTTTATCAGATAAGAAGGCATGAAGTTGGTATCCTTGTGTGACGTTGTGTTATTTTTAATTCCTAGAGGGAAAATGTTTCTGGCAGGTCATGGAATGTCATATATTAGTAAAGTAAAGGGTTTACTTAAAAGCACTGAAGGGACGTATTTTTGCCTTGCCATATTACCCATAAAAAACAGTAGAAACATTGCTATCTGATTGCTTGAAAGGGAATACATAATGTTTTGAATTGCGGGTTGTGCATTTTACAAGGAAAGAAACACATACATAATTTGGCTTTATTAAACATGATAATATTCAGACAATCCTGAGGGAAAGTATTTATGAGGGGTTTGTTAATAAAACTACAGAACATCTAAACACCAAAATATTGTTTTCTATGGCAATAAAAAATACAGAGGCTCCTAGGGAAAATATAAACTAATGGATATCAGTGTGCTGAGTAGAGAATATATATTATATACAAACACTGCAATACATTTAAGGACTGGGTTTCCTAAAAGCATCGTAGATCATCTTAATTCCATTTAAACTAAATGAACGAAAGATGATCTTAGTGCTCCGATGCTTATGGGAAACCCAGCTCTGATCAAATAATTAAGATAATAGCCATATGTCAAGCAGGGTTCTCAAGACAGAAAAAATATAAGTCTATAACTACATTGATCATGAAATATTCACAAATATACACAAATAGCAGTGTTTGCGATCATACTGCTTCATATTCACACTTCACATTTTCTTAGCCTGTGAATCAAAAATGAAATCAATGTAACCCATGCCTTTAGTGAAATATAATGTTGCAATGTTTTTCGACACTCACAACCCCCACACTCCAAACTCCTAAAGAGGACACTAAAGGGTCATAGGTCATGCTAGTGCTGGTCCCCCCATAGAGACCAGGGAGTTGAAGATAAGCAAGCAGGTTGAGGGACATCAATAAGGTCATTGATACAGCCCTCCTCCATTCTCTTTTCCATTTCATTCAACTGAATAACCACTTCAAAAGGGCTATACAGTCAGGGCTATACATCAGTCACTTCTTTGCCTCTTTGCTTAGATTCAGACAGTCTTACTCAGAGACAAATGTCAAGGAGTCCCTTCCAGGGCCTGCCAGTGCAGTCAGAGCTGAAGTGTCCTGTCTCCCCAGACTTCACATCAAATCAAAAAGGGTTCCATTTAATAATAATAGAATATATGCCGATTAGCAGATGCTTTTATCCAAAGCGACTTACAGTCATGTGTGCATACATTTTAGGTATGAGTGGTCTACCCATTATCCTGGCTTTGTAAGCACCATGCTCTACCAACTGAGCTACAGACGCAGTCCTTCTAGTTTCCTTTGCAAACGTTCACTCACAATATTGGGAGGGGGACATGAAAAAAAACTGGAGGAATATTAATATACTTTATAAAAGTGAAAGCGATGCTTGATGGTGTTGTGATGGTGAAGTGTGTTGATAAACTGCAATATGCGTTGCTGAGGGAGGCAACCAGTGGAACGACACCGTCATGAATAACCAATAAACACTCACATCAATGTTGGATATATTTAGATGCTGCTACCGTGTGGATTTAACCGTTTACCTCTTTCTTTTAATTGGAAATGGTGCATAATCATATGTAAATCCAGAAAGTAGCTAATTTATTAATGCATTTTGCATGATGCATAAATGCTTGTGAGCGGATTCAGTTATAAATGAAATGTAAAGCTGCCATTTAATGAATAATTGCCAACCACAAACCACTTTAGCATCCTTCCCAGTCCAATCATGTCAGATGCAATTACACAAAAGTACAAAAATGGAAAACAAACAGCACAGCACTGACATTACAAAATACATCCATTGATTGAGAGGCGGGCTGTTGCCAGGGAACTATAATTGTATTATCTGATACGCTGAACATGGCCAAATAAAGTTAGCAAGGAGAGAAGATTGTGAATTCATTAAAGTCCAGGGTTTAGTTTGAGGTAATGGATGCCAACAAATACAGGCCCTGTGATGTCTCTGTGACCTGTGTGGTTAGGCCGATGATCCTCACATTTATTTGGATTTGACTGTCTTCCAAGATTCTCCAAGCGGTGCTATAGGATTGCTCTGTGTAACACTCAGTTGTGTGTTTGTGTGTGTGTGGTTGTGCGTATGTGTGTGTGTGGTTGTGCGAGTGTGTGTGTGGTTGTGCGAGTGTGTGTGTGGTTGTGCGTGTGTATGTGTGTGGTTGTGCACGCGTGTGTGTGGTTGTGCGTGTGTGTGTGGTTGTGTGTGTGTGTGGTTGTGTGTGTGTGTGTGTGTGTGGTTGTGTGCGTGTGTGTCTGGTTGTGTGTGTGTGTGTGTGTGTGTGTGTGGTTGTGCACGTGTGTGTCTGGTTGTGTGTGTGTCTGTGTGTCTAACTGTGAATATTAAACTGTATGTGAGGAACAATGTTCCCTCTACGCTGCGTGCGGGCGCGCAGTAGCCCAGAGAATGCCGCGCAGAAGAAATATCAGCCCACAGAGAGAAGCACAAGATTGAACTTCACTCAACTTTCTAGAGTTTTCCCTGTTAGTTAACACTATTGTCTCCCTTTACTGTGGCAATTGTGATCGAATCAATGCAATATTAGCCACTTGCAACATTCCGAAACAAAACGAACTACACAGACCGGTGCGGCATAACCAATCAGAGCTGCAGTTTTTTTTACTTTGAACTGGACTGTATTTACTGCATGAGCAGTTGTGAGTAGATGAGCTTTTTTTTAAATCAAAGCGAGAGCTGCATGTAGCCACATGTGCACATATCCTTTGCTAGTTAGTGAGTTATTAGCCCAGTTATAGATAACTTGTAATCAGCAATAGGGGAGTGATTGCTTCCTACAACAGCACAAAACGTTTACATTTCTAGATATCTTTAAAAAGCGAGTCAGGTAAAGAGCTAGGCAGAGGGTAGCATAATTTGTCTGATACTCTGTAATAATGGTATGGGAATAATAATGCATTTTATTTTGCAACAAAATACACATCAACATTTTCAGTCACCTCCTTGGCTGAAGGACAAGTGGATAAACAGGTTAATGTCAAGCCCAGCTTGTTTATTTCATTGGCGTACATTGAACACCACACATCGGCTGCTACTGTAGGCTGAATGATAGAACAGCTATCTCCATGTTAAAATGTTATGGGATGCCTACTTGGCCACTGTTAAAACTGTAACTTAAAGCGGGTACAGCCTCAGTGTTCACAGTAAACACACGCTGGAAATTGCACAGAATTTTCACAACGTTCAAGTTTGCGCTCAGCAGAACAGAAATTTGCTCAGTGCCAATAAAAATTAGAGGGAACATTGCTGAGAAACCAATAAGAACCCTTTGAAGATTTGGCTTTACCTAAGAAATGTTCCATGTGAGGAGTGAATATAAGCCAATGAACCAAAAAATTGAGAGAAATGGCAAAGTTAAAATTGGGAGGAGAGCGTCAGTCAGTAAACAGTTCTCCCCTCAGGTGTGTTCCAGTACTGTCCAGGGTAGACGGAGCCAAGCCGTGCGCCATTTTACACAGACAAAGAGCCTCCACTGCCTCCAGACCTGTGGCAGACACTCAGCTACTTCTTGGAAATACCCACTGATTCAGGCAGCGACAGGGAAAGGACATTACACTTGGAAGAGAAGTACCAATGCACATAGTCTCTTCAGGAGGGAACACACAGAGCGATGTGTGAGAGACATATACTTTCTAAAAATAGACTGAGAGCCCAAGCTATGAGTGAACATTAGCTCCCAGGTCAGGTGTTGGCAAAGCCCTTCAAATCCTCACACACTGAAAGGATGTATGGAGGCAGCATAAAAATAACAATCTTGGGAAGTTGCTCTGTCATCTATCCAAACGGTGAGTGTCCTCAGGTGTGTGTGCGTGCATGCGTGAGTGTGTGTGTGTGTGTGTGTGTGTGTGTATCCGTGTGCGTGTGTGTGATCAGTGAGGGGGCTTCCTCCAGCAGGGGGCTCACACGCTGTCCCTGTAACAGAAAAATAATAAAGTAAAGAAGAGAAGGTGAAAACCCCAGAAAGGAGAGGTTAGAACTACAGTCACGTCAAGTGAACAGAGACACTGCTGTGTGTAGTAGAGGGTGTACTGAGGGGGTTGGGAATGTGCGGGGGCTACATGTGACGCATTTTGAAAACAAATAAAGCTCTGCTTTCATCTTGTTAACGCAGGAGGAAGATGGAGTATGTATTAACACACACAAATGGCCCAGCAGCCAGCCAGCCAGCCAGCCAGCCAGCAGTGTGAACTGGCACACTGAAGGGGTTCTAATTTGATTCCTCTACCAGGGTTGGCATGCAGGGCCCTGCGTATATTTGAATCAATCCCTTGCTCATGTGCTTTCAAAAAAGACATTGCGAAACTAGTCCTCCTCTATAATTTCTTCCCTGGGATACTCTGCCAGCTATTTCACACCTACGCCTCCTCCGTCTATGTGTCAAACCAGGGGATTATTGTGAGCACAGCCTTCCTCAACAGTGTAGTACTGGATTTATTGTCATCAGGAATATCTGTTTTCCAGTTTCCTATGGTAGTGTGCTTGGACGCTGGTGTGATGTCTTAAATGTAATCATAAACACACCTCTATTGATCTGTGTGGACTACCCCCTGTACATGGATCTGTACATGTTTACATGTCTGAATACACACACATACACACACATGCGTACGCATGCACACACCACACACAAACACATACGTATAGGGTGAATATTTTCCCCTGAGACTATAAAGAGAAATATAAAAAATTAGGATGACAGTTTTACTGGCCCCCTATATTCTCTGCCTTTGATGCAGTGATTGAATGATCATCACACCAAAGTTATGGCAACGGCCTATGAAATTGAGTTAAAAATGACATTTAGTGTTTTGATTTATGAGAGACTGTTTTTCAAGTCTGGTACTCCAGTGGGCAATAAAGAGGAGAGCTTATCAGGTAGCTTCAGCTTCCACAGACAGGAGCTGTGAGAATTGGGCTCACAGAAGCCCTTTCCAGCAAATGTGTTTCCTTAATGTCTGGCCTGAAGGGCCCTATTCACTAAAAAGCCACCACAAGGCAGGTAGTACCCACTATGGATTCCCTGTGACACACATAGCAAGACCCAATCCTATTTATTTATACCAATTTGTCCTGTGGCTCTGCTCCTCTGAAGAGCCTTTCTCCCTGCTCCTTTTCAGAGGGATTGTCTAACAAAAGTGAGGCTACAAGAGAGGAATGCACTGATAATGTGATATCTGCATTCAATTCGGAGGCTGGCCTCGTCAGAAAAATATATTTATTTCCCATAAATGAAAAAGGTGGCTTTCAAGAGATGCAAAAGAAATGTGGGCTAGGATGAATGTACAGCGCCCAGTACCAGAGGTCAGGTTGGTGGGTGGTAGCACGTGGAAAACGATACTGTGTAATGCGGTTGTATAAACAAGGAAGTTGAAAGCTTACAGTGGCTTGCACTTGGGGAATCAACCACACATACTATCCACACATCCTGAGAGCCTGACTTCAATGGCTTCTCCACTGGTTGTTGTTCTATTTTTGATCGCAGTGATTTTGAGCGCCTCGGCTTTCACTACGCTGCCCGCTGCGTATGTAGCTAACTGCTTGGTCACTTACAGTCCATATCAATGAATAGCAACAGTCAGCAACTGTAAGGTTCTGTATTTATTTTCTTAGTCAACCTTGTGTTCTTGTACGTAGCCCTGTTTCTTTGTGTCCTTGAACGTAGTCCTGTCTTTCATTTTTGTTCATTGATCTCACCTGTGTTTGTTAGTCACCTGGTGTCATCAGCTCCTTATTTAGTTCAGTTCATTCTGTTTGTGCCTTGTGAGGTATTGTTCGTTTTGACTCTACTAAGCCTTTTCCTAGCGCGTTTGTGAGAGCCAGTTATAGCCTTCAGTCCTAGTTTTTGATTCTCCTACCTGTGTATGACCATTGCCTGCCTGTGACCACGATTCCTGCCTTCTGTGAAGGCGAAATACGCACCTGCCGCGCTCTGCGCGTGAATCTACACCTTTTTCTCCCTGAGTATTCATTACAGCAACAAACCCTACAGGTGATATCTAGAACCTTAAAGGGTTCTTTGCCTGTCCTCATAGGATAACCCTTTGAAGAACCCTTTTTGGTTGCAGGTAGAACCATATTGGGAACCAAAAAGGGTTCTGCTATGGGGACAGTCGAAGAACGCTTTTGTAACCCTTTTTTTCTAAGAGTGTAGTCAGAGCTTGACAGCTCTCATCACTGTCATGTAATCGGCCTGAGGCACCTTACATTTATATTCAGTGAGAAAACACACATACAAACCTGGTAGGCTATCAGTAAAGAAAAAGAAGATCCAGGTAAATCGCTGGTGTCGAGCCACTCGTGTTCTAAATCCCATATTTGATGCATTAGGAATAAAAAAGATGTGTGTGTGTGTGTGTGTGTGTGTGCATAACACATATTTATTCAACACACACACTCCATTCTGATTTCCTCAACCAGAGTGTACAGTATTCCCAGTATTCATAAATGCAAAAGCGCATTCATTTCAATCCATTTGCCTTGACATGAGGCAACTGTTGTGTCTTTAAAGCAGCCCTCTACCTTGGCAGCCTGTGGTGTGTAGCATTCAATGATCAATCAGATGCTGTTAGGTGAAAAGGGAGATGAGCGGAAGGCGTCTAAATGCTTTCTACTCTAGTAGGAAAGCAATCTCTGACATGGGAATCTGTGATTGACAAACCATTCTCAGAAGCCATGAGGAAGCTGGATTCTATGCAATGCTAATATCACTCCATACAGAATGTTTACAGTGTTGTGGCTGAAAAGCTTCAGGTACCATATAAGAAGTGGGAGTGCCTGGGTGCATGAGTAACGGCTGTGAGAAACCGCAGATATCAATTAGATCTGAACCTGTCACTCTTCCATAATTCATGATCTCCCATCGGCCATTGAACGTCTATGAGGGTGAGATACAGAACAAAAAGACTGAACAACTGGGTCGCGTCCATAGATACAGAGCAAAAAGACTGAACGACTGGGTCTCGTCCATAGATACAGAACAAAAAGACTGAACGACTGGGTCTCGTCCATAGATACAGAACAAAAAGACTGAACGACTGGGTCGCGTCCATAGATACAGAACAAAAAGACTGAACGACTGGGTCGCGTCCATAGATACAGAACAAAAAGACTGAACGACTGGTTCACGTCTCTGGCAACCGAACCGATAGAACGAACAACCAGCAGGCTTGGGTAGCAACCCTAGATTTGTGTCGGGACTATATCTTGTGGAAGGATTAAATACTATGAATAAATTAATCAAAATAACGTTTTTAATGAAAATATGACAATCATTATTTAAATATGTTGGTAAACGGTTGTATAAAAGTGATAATGCCCTCGAAACCGGTGTTTGGAGGATATATTGCCACAGTTAACAACCCCCGTGCCAATATATCCTCCAAACACCAGCTTCTCGGGCATCATAATTTAAGTAGGTCACACACAGCGCTATGTGGTCATTTGAAGCACTTGCTCATAGTGCGTTACGATGAAAGATGCGTCAAACCGAGAGGACATTATCACCGCAGCGCTGTACCCTCTTTCATTATACTGGGGTTCAGTCTTTTCAACACGTGGCCCCGTCTTCCTGACTTCTAGATTTTATAGGACAATTTAACAATGTCCACTAAAAGTATATGATATAAAACTGAGATTTTCATACGTGGAGTATACATGTCCACAATGAGTGGAGTAGCCTACAGAAGAGGTCATATGATTACCTACAGATCATCCAGCTATTATGGATCCTACTTTTTGCATCAAACTGGCCTGAAACTGCCCATGAAATTGCTTCACAATGTATTTCCCCTTTCATTTGTAGCAAGCCACTAGAAAATGTATCACCTATACATGTACATTTTAGTCATTATCAGTATTGAGTTCATACATTTCATACTTTCTATACTGGTCCCTTGTGGGAATCAAACCCACAACCCTGGTGTTGCAAGCGCCATGCTTTACCTTGTCATCTCCATGGTGTCCTTGGTGAGATAAACGATCCAGTACACCAGGTTGAAGGCCCCGAACGACAGAGGGAAGAGGATGCGCGAGTACTTGTCTATGATGCTGGTGCCTGTCAGTAGGTTGTTGGACGGCATGGCTGAGCCTTGCTGAAGGAAGGCCTGGGCATTCACTGGAGGGTTAGGGAACACCTCTGCTGGTCTCTCAAAGTGAGGCGTGGAGTTCATCCTCTTCTTCAGCATACTGCTGGCGTCCTGTATTGTACACAAACACCATTTTTTTACCTTTATTTAACTAGGCAAGTCAGTTAAGAACAAATTCTTATTTACAATGACGGCCTACACCGGCCAAACCCGGACGACACTGGGCCAATTGTGCGCCGCCCTATGGGACTCCCAATCACGGCCGGTTGTGATACAGCCTAGAATCGAACCAGGGAGTCTGTAGTGACGCCTCAAGCACTGAGATGCAGTGACTTAGACCGCTGCGCCACTCGGGAGCCCAAATATCAGTGGAGGGGGTGAGTGAGATAATCTATAGTAAATCTATGACCAGAATGTCAGTAAGTCATTGGCAATTAAGATGAATAAAATAGGAAATCAAGTAGGTTTTATTTTGGCAAAACGCAGTTTTAATTAATTCCATTTCCCATAACAACACAGAGCCATATGTCATATGCACAAAATAATAAAAGATAGTCATTGATTAATTAATCAATACAACATTATACATTGAGTGTACAAAACATTAGGAACACCTGCTCTTTCCATGACAGACTGACCAGGTGAATAAAGGTAAAAGGGGACACAGGGAGGGGTGGTGTGGGGAGCAGGAACAGAGGGAGGGGTGGGAGGGGTGGTGTGGGGAGCAGGGACAGAGGGAGGGGTGGTGTGGGGGAGCAGAAACAGAGGGAGGGGTGAGAGGGGTGGTGTGGGAGCAGAAACAGAGGGAGGGGTGGTGTGGGGAGCAGAAACAGAGGGAGGGGTGGGAGGGGTGGTGTGGGGAGCAGAAACAGAGGGAGGGGTGGTGTGGGGAGCAGGGACAGAGGGAGGGGTGGGAGGGGTGGTGTGGGGATCAGGGACAGAGGGAGGGGTGGTGTGGGGAGCAGAAACAGAGGGAGGGGTGGGAGGGGTGGTGTTGGAAGCTGGGACAGAGGGAGGGGTGGAGTGGGGTGGAGCTGGGGCCATAATTTGACTGGCTTCCATCACAGAGCAGGTTGGAGCTGCAAATGTCAGCTGCTGAATGCTGTGCATGTCTGACGGAGGTGAGAAATCACGCAGGGAGCTTGTGGCTTTAATACTGCAGCTATTTCTGAAACGACAGCAGGCTCAAATTCTCTGCTGACTCTCAGAATCAGAGCAGATTCGTATACAGTGTGTAATAAATTGTTTTTGCATACTGCCATAATATCTCTAGAGATGGATGGGATAACTCATAAAATGTCAATACCGCGTGACATTGTTTTGTTTTGTTGAGATTGAACATGCAGGATTAATGGTGTGACATTGTTGTAATACATGGTTTATCCTATCAATTTGGCTTGTGTGGGATTCATCAAAAGTGTCCTCTCTTTAATCCAATTTGAACAATGGAATCTTAGCATGCTGACATCAGTGTATAATATAAACAGTCCTTAGTATTGAGCAAGGAAGAGCTGATAGACTCAGTTAACAACATTTTATCCAGTCAACAACCAGTCAACCAGTCAATTACATCTTATCCAGTCAGCAACCAGACAACCACTCAACAACATAGTCAACAACCAGTCAACCAGTCAACAATATCTTGTCCAGTCAACAGCCAGTCAACAACATCTCATCCAGTCAACAACATCTTATCCAGTCAACAACATATTAACCAGTCAACAACCAGCCAACCAGTTAACCACCAGTCAACCAGTTAACAACATCTTATCCAGTCAACAACCAGTCAACCAGTCATAACCAGTCAACAAAATCTTATCCAGTCATCAACCAGTCAACCAGTCATAACCAGTCAACAAAATCTTATCCAGTAAACAACCAGTCAACCAGTCATAACCAGTTAACAACATCTTATCCAGGTCATTAAGATGTGTCTGCTTTTTAAAGAGATAGTAATTCAAAATGGTGCAGATGGAGAGATAGAACTCGCCATGTTTGACTCTTTAGTTCATGTATTTGGTGCAGCCAAATAGTCTCTATCCCACAGAAGCACAAAGCATTGGGCTTGCCTTTCCCCTCTACAACGCTTCTTGTGAGCCTGTAATGATCTGCCTGGATATTACCTTCATCTATTCCTTTCACATAATCTGTGTTCACGAAACCACTGGCTGTCTCTTCTCACCAAATCTTCTTGTTGTCACAGATTAGGAGTGGGGTGGGGTGAGAGATACACAGAGATGAGAGGAAAGGGAAGGGGGAGGAGTGTAAAACAAGGAGAGAGGGAGGATGGAGGAGGTGGATTACCGAAGAGAACTCCCCGTCGCTCCTCCCAGCCTCTGCTGCCTCCTGGGCTGCCTTTATGGCGGCCGCCTTGCGGAGCTCCTGGTTGGCCTGCAGCGTGGAGAAGTAGTTGACTGCGGCAAACTCGATGAGGGCTGAGAAGACGAAGGCGAAACACACGGCGATGAACCAGTCCATGGCCGTGGCATAGGAGACTTTGGGCAAAGAGTGGCGGGCGCTGATGCTGAGTGTGGTCATGGTCAGCACTGTGGTAATGCCTGGCATACACAGGGCACATAAAGACATGTTAGACAGAGATACTGGACATGGGAGCCATTTTGTTGTCTGTGTCCCAGAGCCCCAGGGTACCAGCCCATCATCTTGTCAGGGCATGTAGTGGAGTGAAGTGGAGGGGGTTGGAGGGTCAACCATCCAATGGTTTGCGTTAGAGCTGTTGTGCGGGCAGTTTAATGTGAACACACATGAGCTTACATGCAACGGAATAGCTTAAGGGGAAATAGTTAAGGGTCTATTCAAGCATGTCATTTTGTTATTTCTATGAACCCAATAGTTTAAATCTTATCATACTTTTTCAAATAATTAAATGATTTCTGCTGTAATTCTCATGACACTGATTTAACATTACTGAGCATCGAGCAAAAATGTAGTTCATCGGATTAGACTGTCTCGTTAATATGTAACTGAAGATACTGTAACAACTTAATCAATAGCAACCTACAAAATGAAGATTAGTATTGCATTACAGTCCAGAAAATCCTCAGAGCCCATTGATCATTTAGATGGTAATTGATGCCCTACTTCTCCAGAAGGTGAATCTATGGGCATGATGTTTCATCTCTAGCCTTCGGCAACAAGTTCCCACATCTAGACATGCTCTTCCATTCAGAAATACATTTGTGTCCAAGTTCAATGCTAAGCACTTTGTATCGCTCACTGTCCTTTTAAGAGCACTTTATTCGTGAATTTTACACATGGTCCAACCAAAATGTGACTACCAAGAAACAGTTGTTGATGGGGGTTAAGTGCCTTGCTCAAGGGCACAACAGTAGGCAATGGCATCTAGAATTCTATACCAGCAACCCTCCGGTTGCCAGCTCACTTCTTGACAGATGTCTTTCATCAGACCCGGGATTTGAACTGGCAACCCTCCAGTTGCTGGCATGCCGCTCTAATCGCTAGGCTACCTTCTGCCCCCACCTTTGGATGGAGGGTCACCATTATTTTTATACCAAGTTGATTATAATGTCTATCTCTCAGAAACCAAACCAATGTGTTCTGGCATTATTGATAAGTAATTATACCTGTATAGCATTAAAACTAATGGCCAGTGAAATGTTAAAAATTCAAAATCAATAGTTCACCCATATTTGAAGTGTATTCACTTTACCAATAGTGAATCATATAGTCTAATGAAAGTAGCACATTGAATAATCTATTGATCCTGAGAGGCAGCAACCAAAAACATGGCTTAGTTTACTCTCTCACCACAGGAGTGGTACAGATGTAGGATCTTAATTTGAGCCAGGTTGCTACAGCAGGAAAATAATCCTGCCGCAATAGGAAATGTGAATTATTATGTGAATTATAATTAATGGACATTTTTATAGGGATTGACACATTTTTCGTAAGGGAAAATCAAGTCTGAAATTTCAAAGTGGAAATTACAAACGTCAGAAGCCTTTTTAAACCTCAAATACACTACAAATGTTAAAAAGTTATTGTAACAGTAGGGCCTGTGGTAATACAGTATGTTCCTAACAGCATGCCTAAATCAACTGAAAGTCAGGTCACTTAGGCATGCTATTTGGAAACATCCTAGCACTTGCCTTGATTTGTGCATGCAACTATGCTAATACTAAGCTTTAGCTGAGCAAACTAAGCCATGTTTTTGGTTGCTGACTGTCAGGATCAATAGATTATTTGCAAGTTATCCATCTAAATGAGGTCAACTTTTCATTTGGGTCAACTTTTACTATTCCTGTTACATCCTGGACACAAATCCATTTGAATTTCTGACTTCCTTATACAAGCAGAGGAAGGTTGGAGGAGTAGATTAAGTTTGTCATACCATCCACATTGTTTACTGTTCATGGGATGGCCTGTTTTTAGTGATGCCGATGATGATGATGATGATGATGATGATGATGGTTCCAGAGCAGTACAACTTGCATGGGTTAGAGTTGGACACATCAATGGGATGTGGGTTGGAATGAGTTGCCAGGGTAGTGTGGTTTCCTCTCACTAAGACGATGATGGGTAGGCCGCGAGCAGGCCTGGAATGAGCAGGAGCGGAGAGTAATGATGATGAGGAGGAGGGACACAGATGATTTGACGAAGGCTTAAATGGAACAAGTTTACAGGGCAATAAAGTCCCAATCCTGGATAATGAAGAGAGTACAAAGAAAAGCTGTCCTGTTCACTGATTATATGAAGCAATGTACTGTGCTATACAGCTGATATACCGTACATGTTTCTGAAATACGCTCTACTGGTATAAGGCTCATTGGACTGCCAAGTGACTTCACAGACAAAAATCTCCAGACGTGCAAGAATTCACAATTCCACGACCACTCTATCTCATCATAACACAGGGAAGAGACTGCAAATATTAATAGATTAGCAGAAGTTTTCATAAACTACTGAACCTGTATATTGATATAAATCGATAGCAAACCTCAATCTGTACAACCTTTTCCAGAATGGAGATGCTTATTTCAAGTTGTTCACTGGAAGTTATGTTTTCGAGGCAGTACAAATAAGCTAGCTACAGTACCAACTCTCCATAAAGCTAGCTACAGTACCAACTCTCCATAAAGCTAGCTACAGTACCAACTCTCCATAAAGCTAGCTACAGTACCAACTCTCCATAAAGCTAGCTACAGTATCAACTCTCCATAAAGCTAGCTACAGTACCAACTCTCCATAAAGCTAGCTACAGTACCAACTCTCCATAAAGCTAGCTACAGTACCAACTCTCCATAAAGCTAGCTACAGTACCAACTCTCCATAAAGCTAGCTACAGTACCAACTCTCCATAAAGCTAGCTACAGTATCAACTCTCCATAAAGCTAGCTACAGTACCAACTCTCCATAAAGCTAGCTACAGTACCAACTCTCCATAAAGCTAGCTACAGTACCAACTCTCCATAAAGCTAGCTACAGTACCAACTCTCCATAAAGCTAGCTACAGTACCAACTCTCCATAAAACCCCAACAATTGTCAAACTCAAACGCTTGTTAAATGATCACACACTGGGAAGGGTATGGGAGAAATCATGTCAGGAAAAAAAAGCAGAGGAGGTGAGAGAAAGAGAGAGAGAGGGAGGAGGAGGAGGAGGAGGAGGAGGAAATGAAGGAGAAAGACAGGAGAAAGAAACGAAGAGCTTGAGGCATCTGTGTGCTTTTAAAGGCAAAAAGCAAGGTACAAATTAGGCCCACTCAATTAAGTCTGTGAGACTTCAGCTCTGGGGACTTTCAGCTCTTAGAGAGCCAGCCTGCAAAGCAGCACACAACAACAATGCCTAATGTGCTTTAACCCTGATGGAGTGCTTTTACATAGCTCTCTGTCTCTCTCTTTCTCTGTCTGCACCCGTCAGTGCATTACCACAACTTATTTAGCTACTGGCTTCTCGCTGTGCCCCATATTACTGTTGTTCTGTGGTTGTGTCACCAGCAAAGCATTAAATTACATTGGATTTACAGACGCAATTTACAATCTCTTAATCATAGAATTTCTTAAGGCAAAAAAAAACAAACAGTGTAAACTGTGAAGATAAAGCCTGTCATTCATGGGTTTGGGGAAAATCCAACATGTTCAATGCAATAGCCTCCTAAAGGACACACCATGTTCACTCCAAAACACTCGAATATCTCCACAGTGTTTTACTCCTGCTACCTTGCCAAATGAAAGCAGCAGGATGTGGGAGGTTAATGACGTTCTGCATATGTGCGTTTCACATTGGGCCCAACTTGAACACGTACTAATGATTGGTATCTTTTTCCTAAGTGTGGGCTTGTCAAAATGCTGACAGGTTTCCAAACAGAACCATAATCTACAAAGGCCAGCAGCCGCTACTCCTGCGCACGGAAATGTAGCTGAGGAAATTTAAATTTAAAATCAAAAGGATGGCAAATGAAACTGAAGAGCTCCCTGCTCCCGAGGCTAGTGGCTGAAGCAAGTGTAGCATGATGTCATGGGAACAACCGGAACCTGCAAGTCCTTGGAACAAGTCCAAGTAAACAACATCACCCCGCTCCCCTGCCTCGTATGACCGATTTCAGAAGAGGAGTTTTTACTATTAATTCAGCTCCACTTTGGAGGGAATCGACATAAGAGGTAGAAGATATAAGAGATACCATGTGACTGTGCTACCTATGTTCTCTAGTACCACTCTACATAATGCAAACCATTACCATGTTCTGCCAAGAAAACACATTACAATAACGAATTACAACATTATCAGCCAATTTACATAAAAGGATACAGAATATATAATGTGAAGTTGTTTTGTTACCTTAAAGAGGCTCGAATTTATTTTTTTAATGCTTTTCGTGAACTAACACTCACACTTGACCCCCCCCCCCCCCCCCCCCCCCCCCCAGCTAGCTATCTTAAGATTAATGCACTAATTGTAAGTCGGCTAAATGACTAAAATGTACAATGTAAATGTAAATATCACTCCAAGGGAACTCCAACTTATAATGGGACTTGTAGGGGTTACCTTGGTAACATGTAAGCATGGTGGACAAGACAATGGAGAAATGGAGGGAGTAATGGTGGAGATCAGGAGGAGGCCTACCGAATACAGTTCGAGCAGGAACCGATTCCTTATTGATCCAAAAAGAGACCTGAGCCAGGATCACGGTCATGATACAGGGGATGTATGTCTGAATCAAGAAGAAGCCCATCTTCCTTTGCAGGTGGAAGTGAACAGTCATGACTACATATTCACCTGTCAGAAAACAAATGGAATTCTGTCGGTGGGCACAGAGAGTTTCTAACAGACACATTGGCAAATCAGCATTTCACAGAGCACAAAACTGATTTGTGCTACAGAAAACAGATGCAGTACATGCATACTCTAGCACATGTCAAAGGCTGCAGTTTGAATGTGTACCAAACAAGCACAGATTCAAATGAAAATTCAATTTAGGAAAAAAAAGATTTAGTTTGAAATCCTCATTCAAAGCCATATGCATTCGGTATGCATACTGTTACATGGTTGTTTTTTTAGGCTTATTTCTTTAAGCTTACTAAAGCGTTAAGTGAATAAATATATTCTTACCTGTGTTGGATTTTAACCTCTCACTGGATACTGTCTGTCCTATTAGATCGTACTGTAGCAAGCTGGAGGACTCCTCTGGTACTTCCACAGAGAACAGTGGTCCTTTTTTCCATGTGTACACAATTTCACTCATGGGGTAGGCATCTGGACAGCAAAAATAAAGATCATATAGTCAATCTGTAATCACCAGCTAGCCTGGTGGAACCATCTGTCTGACTGAGGTTTATGAAAGACAACTTACAGCTACCAAACTTGAGAGGACAGGCATGGCCGTCCATCGGGAAGTTCATCAGTCGCATGGGACACTCTGCATTTATAGTCAATCTGCAATGGAATGGCAATAAGTATTGGGCACACCTTATGTACAGCAGTAATGGTCACCTATGATCATCTACAACTGATCACGTCTGCGTACTAGGCCGTACCATCTTTTGAAAACAAAGCAATACTGATAGAGACACGCCTGGGTAAGTTGATGTGTATCGCACAAATAACTAAACCAGGGCTCTCCAACCCTGTTCCTGGAGAGCTCCGTCCTGTAGCTTTCGCTCCAACACCAGTTGTAACTAACCTGATTCAGCTTATCAATCTGCTAATTATTAGAATCAGGTGCGCTAGATTAGGGTTGGAGCAAAAACCTACAGGACGGTAGCTCTCCAGGAACTGGGTTGGAGAACACCAGGCGCTAAACCATAGCCATGATTGTGTTTGTATGATAGTCAGCTAGATGTCCAGTAGAACACAGACTACTGTCCTAAACAGGTCTGTTTTGGACCTGGATAGCTGTGTGAACCAGTAGTACCTCATAGTGTATAGGATAGTTCCGTTCTGCATGATGCGGAACAGCTTGTTGGGAGTGGTCATGTTGTGAGAGATGGACCTCTTGCCATTCCGGAAGAATGTGTCTGGTGTCCAGATCTTGCTGACCATGAGGTTGTTGAGCCGCAGAATCTCAATGGGGCCCTCGAATTTCAACCTCTCGTCAATCCACGTTTGACGGAAAAATACATCCATTGTGTACTCCTACAACATCGCAGTTTGGAAATCAAATCAGCAATCAATTCCTATGCTAACGATGGCATTGCTGTACAGTACAGTACATAGCCTACAGTATATCAGTGACCTCATTTACGTTAATGAAATGTCAATAATAAGTACAATTATTATATTTATCAATATTTTAGAGTATCCCCTACTTGTTGTTTTTGATCTATTGAAGTACTGTGCAGGTCCATATTTCTCAACTTCTCCACAAAGAAAAACGGACTGTATTTCATTACAGGTTCCAAGAATGATCCACATGGTAACCAAACAGTATTGATTTACTTTGTTTTCTTGAATTTCTTGATGTATACGCAATTCAGCTTCTAGCTGCCATGTATACTGAAATAAAACTCTACTCAATGTATAATGGCTTTTTCAATCCAGGAATATTTATAGATCAAATGGATGTCTTTACAGCTCTGGTCTTATCTATACTGCCTATGGGATGGCTACTAGTGGGTCATATGGTACCAGAAGTGAAATATAATATAGTGTGTAATGGAAATCAAACGCTCAGCCGGCTCGGGACCCTCACTGACAGGGATTGTCAACCAGATTAAAATCCCTAAGCTGCACTAATGACATCCTGCTCAGAATAATGGAGGCTGGTAGGAATATGACTTGAGGCTGTGGACGGACATGCTAGGACTGGGAGCACCAAGCAATTATACTGTCCCGTCTGCACTAACACAAGTATGTGTTATTGAAATATAAATAAATGCCAACACTCTGGAGTTTTGTGTTATACAAGTGGACTGGATAAAGTAGTAATGCAGCCACATACCATCTCAACATCTGACACTGGACCAAAGCTTGTGACAAAGATGTCTGTTTTGACCTCAGTAACTGGACCTACAAAGATAAATGTTGTTTTGACATAAGACATAAATAAACACAACTTTTCACTCTAAAAACAAATGGAAGCATGTGAGATATTGACAGGATAAAAACGTTAATTATTTCACTTTTCTAGTTTACAGTTACTTGACCTGTAGTTGTTGGCTATCACAAGTCAGCACAATAACATCCCTTAGTAGGATTGGAATTTGGCAATTTGTGAGAAAGAGACCCTGTGGTCAGTGGGTAAATTAATTGCCTGGTCACTCGAGGTCACAAATTCGACAGTTATATTAATGACACTAAAAGCAGCTTCCAAAGATGGGACAGTGACCAATAATTATGCTTTATCAGGAACATAGGCGCCTCACTACTGTGGAAAGTACAACTTTATCAACTACGTGAGCAGACTTGAATTTCACACATTATCAAACAACCTGTTAGAAGTATTACATATGTATTACTGTACCTCCAAATCCAGGTCGCAGTCTGTTGTCATATCCATCTAGTAATCTATCCAATACACGCGTGATGTTATCCAAATAGATATTCTCAGTATCTGTTGATTTCGCATGATTTCCCCAAACATTGCTCACACTGTAGACAAAGTGCATATTCATTATCTGGCGGATTATTCTACTCAATACAACTTGTTACTGCATCAAAGTTGCATAATGTACATCTATCAACATTGTAACATACGTAAAGTCGGGGGAAATTAGTTCACTTGTACTCACCAGGACAGAAAAAAACAAGTGAAAACGAAAGCCATGCCTCGTAAACACTCCACAGTCAAAAAGCCGTGGTCAACTGTTATAATTTCCATATTCCATCATTTAAAACCATACAAAACGCTGATCACACGGCTTAGTGTAAAAACGAGAGGGCTTTTGCGCCAGTCCTGCTCGACTTCCCCAGTGCGGCTGCGCCTCATCTGACTCGCTCAGTTGACAAACTAAAGAGTTTTAAGAGTCTGAAGAAGAGCAAGCACGGAGGGCATTGACAATAATCGAATAAGGCATTATGGGAGATAAGAAGGAAGAAATCCACTGATAGTTTTGGCAGGGAATTAGCTGGGACCCGTTTGGAGATTTGGAAAAGGCTCAAATATCCTGCTGCAAGAGATTACACCAGATATGGTTCCAATTTCTGAGGTGGAGAGCGTTCTACAGATCATAATTCATAATAAAGTTGAGGAGATAACAGCATCACTCCATTATTGCATGTTGGACATGGTCCAACTTAGCTGTTTCCATTAGCTGTGACAGTCTGTTTACACTTGCTGTCCTGCACATCTCCTGCACATCAGCATGTGGTTTAACAAATAGAAAATAAATAAAGCAGATAAACCTTGGATGGTGATTGTGCTGTTGGTGGTGGTGGTGGCAGGAGTGGGAGGGGGTTTGCTGGCTTGCTCCAAGCTTTCACTGACCTGGAGTGACATTGTCAAAGTCAGTTCATTCTCGATTTGGCACAAATGTGACTGTTACCAAAAAGTATTACTTGTGTTATAGCACTAAGATATAATCACAGTTATATATACAGATCTTTTCTGATAAGTACAGTAACTGTAGGTCTCATTCTAAATTAGAAATAAAATACTATTTAATACAGCACAAAGGCAAACGTGATAGCAAAGTGAGGGCAGCAGGTAGCTTAGTGGGTAAGAGCGTTGTGCCAATAACCGAAAGGTTGCTGGTTCTAATCCCCGAGCCGTCTAGGTGAAAGATCTGTCGATGTGCCCTTAAGCAAGGCACATAACCCTAATTGCTCTGGATAAGAGCGTCTGCTAAAATGTAAAAAGATTTGTGCAGTTAAATATTATATGCTGTTTAGTTCAAGTAAGTTCTCTGCCACAAGATCTACTCAGATTTTCGGTTAAAACATTTGATTCATCCTTTGTGCTTATCTTCTACTTTGAAAGTCTGTACAAAACGTGCCATACAATTTTTTATTGTTAAAGTTTACTTATCTTAAGGGTATAACATTCCACATATGTATAATTTATCTAAAGCAGATTTTCTTTAATAGCCTAAAAAGTGTTATACATGAGTTATGCAATGAAATCCCACTATCCTGGTCTCATTGTACTCAATATGTAAGTTATATAATGTTCTTGATGCACTTTGAACGGTGTACACCCACCTCCTTCAAGATGCGGTGCAGTGTGTAATGCTGTGTCTATGCGGACATTAGTAAAATGTGTTAAACCGGGGCGGTCATGATAATACATGTTTGTTTGTATGTATCTATGACAATAATTCAGTCGTTTTAATTATAGTAAGAGACCTGGGGACTTTTATTAGCTCCTTAAGCCAATGCCTTGGTTTTAGCTCTGCGGGCTAACACTGTGTTGTGGCATGAAGGAGACCTGCATTTCACCCCAGTCGGTCACAGTGGAACACTGATCATAGTAAGAGCCAGGACCTGAGCCCTGTATTTAGAGAGTTGGGCCAATGCAGTTACTGCATTATGATGCATTTATATGACATTTCAACATTCTATGGCAGCCACGATAGATCCCCATTAACATTACATGGGGAATATTTAACAATGCTATGTAACTGAATGTCTACAATTAGAACAATATTCACAATTCTAGTTGGCCTAATTCTCTAAATATATAGCATGGGTCACATGGTCAGCTAAATCTCCTGGCCCTGATAAAACTAGCAGCAGCACTGACAGTGATAGAGACAGTAGTGATAGTAACAGTAGCAAGGGCAACGGTTGAATCAATATTATATTAAACATTACTGCATAATATGAGTCACTTAGCATTAATGGAAGCCATTCTCTGAGCCTAGGTGCCTCTTAGGAAGGGAGCTTATTTCAGATTTCACTGGTGTGAATATGCTTGAGATGCTATGTAATGACACAGGGTCATTACCCTAATCCACATCCATGACAGTAAGGTTTAAGCACCATGCAATGGGCACAGTATTATTAATTAGGGAGAGTGAGGACCATGGTCAATACAGCAGAGGTTTCAACCACAGATCATTAAGGAGAGTGAGGACCATGGTCAATACAGCAGAGGCTTCAACCACAGATCATTAAGGAGAGTGAGGACCATGATCAATACAGCAGAGGTTTCAACCACAGATCATTAAGGAGAGTGAGGACCGTGGTCAATACAGCAGAGGTTTCAACCACAGATCATTAAGGAGAGTGAGGACCATGGCCATCGTATCTCTGGCCGGCACACAAACTCGCACGCACGCACACACACACACACACACACACGCACACACACACACACACACAAACACACACACACACACACACACACACACACACACACACACTCACACACACACACGATGAGTGTCCCAGAGTGCACTGATGCAGAGACTGGTCTTTGGAGCATCGTCTCTGTCGCAAAGTGCCAAATGGTCAAAGATAGTGTCACTGAAAGATATGTTGGCCCACAAGTGTAGCCTTATTGCTAATTGTCCAGATACAGCAGATCACTTGAATCTGAAGAGTTGAACTGGGGGGCCAGTATGAAAATGTATGCACTCACTAACTGTAAGTCGCTCTGGATAAGAGCGTCTGCTAAATGACTAAAATTTAAAAATTAAATGTAAATTATAATGGATTATACAGCTCTCAGAACACTGTATATTGCACAGTGGTAACTTCAGGGGTAACCTCATCCATCATCAATGTTTATTTCTGCACTGTAGCAATTTTGAACCAGGATTTTAGTATTTTGTATTTATTAGGATCCCCATTAGCTGCTGCCAAGGCAGCAGCAACTCTGGGGTCCAAACAGGAATAAAAACAGTTACATCACAACAAAACAACAGCCTACATCATAGAACAATGCATCATACAATACAGTATTACATTATTACTGTATTATTACACATTTACAATATAAAATGTACAATACTCAAATACTCAAATAATACAATATTACAATGTGTGTGTGATATCACATTTGAAACGTTGTTTTGTTCAATTTAACACCTTTTGTTTCGAGCATACAAAAAAAAGCATGTATTATTTATAAACTGAAATGGTATCGTTCATATAAAATGGAATAAAGGAAAGTGAACTTTCTTCACCCCATTAACTTCAGCAGTGTACACTTCAGCACTGGACAGCAGCACAACACTACCAGACCTAATTAACGCAGTCTAAAATCTCCATCAGTGGACATTTCAGCACCATGGACAGCAGCAGAAGGTTGGGTAGAGCTGTGATGTACTTTAAGGCAGTCAATGCATTTAATGTTAGAAAAGCTAGAAACAGCGCAGGCTGAGGAGCAGGCCCTCCTCTAAACTACAGTACCCAGATTGTGACCCAGTGAATGCCCTCTTTTACAGCCAGCTAATCTGGGGCATGTTGTTGTGGTTGAGCGTCAGTCTCTTTCAATCCTAATTATATCCCCTGCTTACTGCATCACCTCTTTAATTATTTACATAAACTCTGGATAAACACCAGATCACATCCTTTCACTAATTCAATTAGATAAATGTCTACTTTTAATTAATGTTTCTAATTCAATTACTTCTTAGTTCAAATGTATAAAGTGTATGAGTGTAGTAGGCTACTTAACTTCAGCAATTCTGTAGCGGTGTGTTATATATCATATACCGCCTACAGTAGATGTGGCAATTCAGCTTTATTATACAGTATCTATGGTAACGGTTCGCTCTTACAGAAAAAGAAACTCAGTGCGTCGAAGTCAGAGAGCCTGCAGAGGTGGTGTGGGTGGCAGTGGTTGTTCTGAGGTAAGTCTAGCAGGGCTCTTCTGTGAGGGGGGCAGAGATGGGGACAAACAAGGGGCCAGAGGAGGGGTGAGGAGCAGATGTTGCCATGAGGGTCTCATGTGGGAGGTCTGCCGGTGGAAGAGCTCCAGTCCCTCTGTTGGAATCTCCATCTCTGAAGCCAGGACATCAAAAGGCACTGTTTGGCATGGTCGCTCCCAACTGTGGCTGAAGCTGACTCTCACCCCAGATTTGGCGATGGTGTCCATTGTCATGTAGTGTGAAGGGCGCTGTGACTTTGAGAAACAGTGGGTGGCGCCTCATTTGGTTGGTGGCAGTTAATGAAGCATGGAGGATGGCCAATGGTCTCCGTTTTTACTGGTTATCTACACTTTCAAGGTTGAGCTCACTCCTGGCATTGGCAGGGCCACTGTTGATAGTCCTTGTCAAAGCACCCTGGTGTCTGTCACAGTGGAGGAAAACCACATGGCTGTTGGGCGACATTAACAGATACGAAGTTAAGAGAGAGGCAATGTAATGCATTGTGAGATTTAATTAAATGTAACGATTAGCGTCATAATTCTCTTTTTGGAGCAAATATGATGTATAGTATACATGTATTATAGATATCAGCTGCCTCTGATGTCAATGACTTAAGATCTGCAAATGGTTTCAAAACAACTTTAGAAACAGCACCTTAATGTATCAGTACAGTGCCGTGAAAAAGTATTGACCCCCTTTCTGATTTTCTCAATTTTTGCATATTTTTGATACTGACTGTAATCAAATCTTCAACAAAAACCTAATATTAGGTAAAGGGAGTTTACAAATAACAAATCAAATGTATACTTATTTTATTTATTTAATTAACAAAGTTTTGCAACACCCAATTCCCCTGTGTGAAAAAGTAATTGCCCCCTTACACTCAATAACTGGTTGTGTCACCTTTAGCTGCAATGAATCCCACCAATTGCTTCCTGTAGTTGTTGATCAGTCTCTCACGTCGCTGTGGATGAATTTTGGCCCACTTTTCCATGCAGAACTGCTTTTACTCAGCGACATACACCGCTCGTTTCAAGTCCTGCCACAACATCTCAATTGGGATTAGGTCTGGACTTTGACTAGGCCATTCCAAAACTTCAAATTAGTTGCTTTTGAACCATTTTCATGTAGACTTGATTGTGTGTTTTGGATCATTGACTTGCTGCATGACACAGCTGCACTTCAGCTTCAGCTCACAAACAGATGGCCTGACATTCTCCTGTAGAATTCTCTGATACAGAGCAGAATTCATGGTTCATTCTATTAAGGCAAGTCATCCAGGTCCTGAGGCAGCAAAGCATTCCCAAACCA